AAAAAAAAAGGCACATGTATCCTTCTGTGTCTGTTTTTACTAAGCAGAGAAAAGCCAGCAAATTCTCTGCTCTGAAGGCTTGTGGAGAAGATGGCTTTGCAGAGCTCTTTAATTCTGAGTGCCACGTGACCTGCGTGGCGGGAAGGAGTTCACGGGCCTGGGGACACGCCACAGAGCCAGCAGGGAGGTGACCGAGCAGCCTGGGGGGCCAGTGTGGTGGGCTGGACTGCAGCTGAAGAAACGCTCTGGCCCTGAGGGGTGCTGGAGAGAACTTGGAGCCGGTCTCTGGCCCCAGAAAGATGAAAGCGGCAGCGTGGGCTGGAGGGGGAAGGGCGGTGGAGGGAGGGAGGGGGCGGGGTTGAGCCGCCTTTCCAGGACAAGGCGCTGAAGGAAGAGAGGACTTTGGGGTAGTCTAAAGCGTCTTGCTTAGGAGACCCGAGATGGTTGTGGTTGTCCTCGAGGATGTGAATTGGGTCCGATTTGAGGAAAGAACGTTTGTGTTACTGAAAATGAGCTGGTGACTGCCTAAGAGCAAGTGTTCCTGTTTTCATGCAGTCAGTTCGTCGTCCTGGCTGTAGAAGTTATTCCAGCCACGGTGACGCTGCCCAGAGCCTGCCGATGCACAGGTGGCTGCTGTGTCTCCCTGAACAGGCGGGAGGCCTCATCTTGCGCCGGGTGGCCCGCACGCCTGCCCACCCCACGCTGCCCACTGTTCCTTTTCCACCCTGGGGGGCTCCGCAGGCAGACCCAGACGCCCACAGTCTCCCCGCCACTTGGCTGTGCCCTGCAGATGTTTAGTTGAGAGAGCTGGCCCCTCTGGCACACCGTCTTGCCCGCGGCCGATGGTTCTCGTGCCGTGTGAACGCCCGAGGACGAGAGAAGAGCCCTGCGCGCCGGGTCCTGGTGAGCACACGCGGCCCGCTGGGGCCGGGGCGGGAGCGCGTTGAAGTGTATCATTCAGGACTCAGCTAGGAAAAGGGAAGCCTCGGCTCAGGCGTGGAGGGCTGGCCCCCCCGCGGGGGGATCCGGGACGGTTGGCACTCCTTGCCTCTCATTCTGAGGCACCTGCGAGTGGTTCTCAGGCACCTGGAGGCCGCTGTGGATCCGCGTAGGCTGCACCCCCTTCCAAGTCAGCCACTCCTTTCCTCCTGCCCTCCAAATCGCTCTCCCACTTCTCTGCAAACTTGAACCCAGCACCCTGCTGGAAGGGGGTTCTAGAAAGCTCGCTCCCAGCGTGTGACTTCACAAAGAGGGTGCTCGTGATGCTGAGCTGGCAGCCGGTGCTCTCGGGACACCAAGCCTTGGTGGCGAGAACGGCATCTCCCCAGAGAGTGGAGAGGAGCCGTGACTAGCCCGGGCCTGAAAGGCACAAGGAGGAAGCAGCCCCAAACCTGGGGAGAAGGTGGGGGTGCACTGGCCAGCTGGAGCGCTGCCACCGGTGGGAGGCCCCCGCAGCCTCAGTGACGGCAGGGACACGGCCAGGAAAGCCAGTTCCTCCCCCTCTCCGGCCTCTTCCCAGCCAAACTGAGCCAGAAGCCAGAGGTCCATGGAGCTTCTTGACAGTCCCTGTGGTGCCGCCTCCCAGGGCCTCAGTGGGTCGGAGGGTGAAGAGTGAGCCCGGGCAGGCCGCACGGCCACCCGACGGGGTGTAACTGGGAGTCTGTGGGTGGTTAGTAGCTTGAGGATGAAAGTATTTTTGTCGAGGCAAGGCGGAAGAACGAGCAGAGAATCAGTGGTGAGGCCTGAAATGAAAGAGGAGGCAGCTACTTGAAAAGATGAGAAGAAACTATCTCGAAGGCAGTTTGGAGAACGTTTTCAAGAGGAGACTGGGCTGGGGAGCGGGACACACACGGGAGGAAGGAAGAGAAGGCCCAGGCTGGCTCTGGGCGCCACCAGCACCTGCCGCGGGCCGGAAGCAGTGGCTGCCGACGGGACCCCCGGCCTCCCGGGCCTGCAGCCCCACCGCCGTGGCCCCTGGGGTGGGTGAACCGCTTCTGCGCGCGTGCGGATTCCTCCCAGGACCGGCTTCCTTCCGAGTGTCCCATTTTCTCCGGTCCCGTCATTCAACAGGGACATCCAGGCGGCCCATTCATCACGATGCTCTGTAGCCGTGACCGGGAGCTCTCTGCGCTCTCCCGTGACAGGGCGTCGCTCGCGGTCGCACCAGCTCATCCCGGACGCTAATGCTGATGCCCCGGATACTCCGGGGCTACATTTTGTTGCGCTTAAGCTTGGTTCTCCTCATTGTTTCACTTGGAACTCCTGAAAAAGATGAAACTCGCGCCCACTTTCAGATTTACCGGCTTCCTTTTGGAGGCATTGGACTGTGATTTTTTTTTTTTTCTTTTGTTCCATAAACCAGAACTCTAGCTGTAGGAAAGAAGGTCCCCTTGTAGGCCAGGGGCTCCCCAGGGAGGGCCGCGGGCAGACCTGGCGGGAATTGCACCCCCACCCATTTCCCTCTCGGAGGTGGGGCTCTGGCCCGAGCCCAGATTCGCTGACGCTAAAGTGGCCTTTAGTGCGTAGTCCTTGGCAGCTCCTGTTCGGGTCACCTTGGAGCAAGTGGCCCCGTTGTTTACACCCCCCGGTTCTCAGAAGCCTGATTTTATTTACAGAAGAATTAATGAAACAACATGTGAAGTGTTTGTTTATGGAGAGATTGTCACTCGAGGAAGCTTTTCATCAAACTGCCAGCTTTCATCTTTTTTGTTCCGCCACCTTTTATCAGGCAGAGAAGCCGCTGGCTTTGAGAGCTGGGCAGACACCACTCACAGGGAACGCGTCGTGACAGGCTCGTCCCTGACAGTCCTGGAGATAATGAGAGAAGGGGCACGCCTCACAGCGCTGGGGGTGGCCACCGCTCTCGAGCTTGGCCTCTGGCGGGCAGTGGCAGCCGTCTGCTCAGAGGCCCTGGGGTGGAGCGCTGGGCGTGGCTGAGCGGGCCCTGCTGCCCGGGCGCTGTGACGCAGGCTGGGGGCGCTGGGCGGAGACCCAGGCTGCTGCCGAGTGGGCGCTGCACCTGCCCTGTGGAGCCGAGACCTGCGGGGCAGGAGGAGGTTTCCTTCAGGTGCTCAGATGCTAGGGAGACTTTGGGTCAGCTGATTCCATAATCACACTTCACGTCACAGTAGTAGCCCGTGTCTTTAGTTAAGATATTTCTGGAAGAAATGGGTCTTCAGGTTTGGAGTTCCCTTCAGCAGTGGCCCATGTTGCCTCCCTGAAGCCTCCTAGTGCTCTCAGGTGAACTTTGTAGGGTATTTTCCCCTTGAAACTGGTCCTGCAGAATTTTACAGGCAGGCCCTGGAGCGTGTTCCAGCGCCGCTGTGGGTCGGTCATACTGTTTCCTCTTCCGCAGCCCCGTCATCCGTGCACCGTGCTCTCACCCCTGAATGCGGCTAGCCTACTTCTCGAAGGCCTAGTTCCTTTCCCACTTACTGATTCCCAGAACGTCTGCCGTCTTGTCCTCGGCATATCAGTGATGGAGACCCGCAGCAAGGAGCCGCTGTGCCCGCAGGGCGTTGGCCCCGAGCAGGAGATGCTGGCACACAGGTAGCATGTCCGTCTGTTGGGAGTGAGGGCTGAGGAGGAAGCCAAACAGGCGAGGGAGAGCGGGAGAGCCCAGCAGGGGCAGAGCTAGTGGGATTTGGAGGCTGGCCGGGAAGAACTTGCCGTCGGGGACAGTCTGCCCAGAGGCGGAGAAGGAAGGAAGGAAAGGGGCGAGCGTGTGGCCCTGGGGAAGGGCGTCGCACAGTTCGTGAGGTCCCTCTAAGTGCTCTGGCCACCCGGAAGACGGGGCCAGGGCAGGCAGGCAATGGGAGGTCAGAGGTAATGATGGGGAGCCACGGCAGAGCAAGGAACCCCAGCTTAACTCTTAAGGAACCACGGACTTTCCTGCTGGCAGCCCTGTTTTCAGGTACCCCTGAGGGGACAAGAACCCAGCTTCGTAAACTGTGGGCACCTTCGTTCGTGACTCCGCGCGTCATCTGCGACCCTGGCTTCTTTCAGAAGCACTTGATTCTACAGTGTGTGGGTGTAGTTTGGCCTGGTTGTGTTCGCTGCTGACTCTGAGGAGGAGACGGGCCCGAGCAAGACTTTGGCAAAGGGGGAAAACCCAGCCCTCGGTCGTTCCAGGAGCGCTGCGCTCCAGACTGCACGGGAAGGGCAGGGGCGCTGGGCTTGGCCGAGTCCTCCCTGCCTCCTGGTCACTTCCTGTGCCGTCCTCTCTGCTGTTCCCTCCCCTCCTCCAGAGGAAGGGCCGGTGCCAGCTTTGTGAGTATTAGGTTGGCAAATAAAAGGCCTTGGGGTTAGCAGTGCCGGAACACAACGCCGACCAGAACCTGAAGAACAGTCGCTGCTGTTCTGACTTAGGCCGCCCCGCCCTTCGTGCCTGAGCGGGTGCCGGGGTGCAGTTGGGGGCTGCAGGAGGCCCATCCTGAGTCCGGGCATCACCACAGCTAGTGGAACCTGCGCTGGGGTCAGAGTTGAGCATCTTGGGGTGGTGATGACAGCCACCCTCCACCATGCACCCCAGACGTCAGGGGCTGCTTTGTCCCCGGGCCAGTTCTGTGTCAGGAGGGGCGGCGGCGGGCGGCCTCACCGGTGACCAGTGCGACAGGAAGGAGCACCTTTCTCCCCTGCCATAACTGGGAAATGTTGTAAATTGTTGCTTTTATATTAACAGTAAAAACACAGCCCCACATTTTAACCCAAATGAATTTTGGGGACTCATTCATCTAGTAATGAGGTTTTCACTGTTCTGCACTTGTATTTGCCCAGAGTGTGCGTCATATTCCCGTGGACGCCTGCCTCGCTCTTCAGGCTATTTCTCTGCTGCTTTGCAGCTTTGGAAGTGGGTCAGAAATAAAAGGCAAGGAAGCAGACCAGTCAGCTTCATCTGGGCATCTGAACCACAGTGTCCTCTCCGGCATCTGGGCTTGATGTTATTTGTGCTGCAGAGACGCGTGTCTAATAATTTTCCTTCTCCTTCTCTTGGTTTCCAGGAGGGCTGCTGGCCTGCTGCTGTGCTGCTGAACAGTATGCAGTCCTTCCGGGAGCAAAGCAGTTACCACGGAAACCAGCAGAGCTACCCGCAGGAGGTGCACGGCTCATCCCGGATCGAGGAGTTCAGCCCTCGTCAGGCCCAAATGTTCCAGAATTTTGGGGGTGCAGGTGGCGGCAGTGGCAGCGGCAGTGGTGGGGGACGACGAGGCACAGCGGCTGCTGCAGCGGCGATGGCTAGCGAGACCTCTGGCCATCAGGGCTACCAGGGTTTCAGGAAAGAGGCCGGGGACTTCTACTACATGGCAGGCAACAAAGACCCAGTGGCGACAGGAACCCCACAGCCGCCTCAGAGGAGGCCTTCTGGGCCTGTGCAGAGCTATGGACCCCCCCAGGGGAGCAGCTTCGGCAATCAGTACGGGAGCGAGGGGCATGTGGGCCAGTTTCAAGCACAGCACTCCACCCTGGGGGGGGTGTCTCACTATCAGCAGGACTACGCGGGGCCTTTCTCCCCAGGGAGCTCGCAGTACCAGCAGCAGCCTTCCAGCCAGCAGCAGCAGCAAGTGCAGCAGCTGAGGCAGCAGCTTTACCAGTCCCACCAGCCCCTGCCGCAGAGTACCGGCCAGCCGGGATCCAGCTCATCCCACCTGCAGTCGATGCAGCGGCCCTCAACCCTGCCCTCCTCTGCCTCCGGTTACCAGTTAAGAGTGGGTCAGTTTGGCCAGCACTACCAGTCTTCTGCCGCGTCCTCCTCCTCCTCCTCCTTCCCCTCGCCACAGCGCTTCAGCCAGTCAGGACAGAGCTACGACGGCAGTTACAGCGTGAATGCTGGGTCCCAGTACGAAGGCCACAACGTGGGTTCTAATGCACAGGCTTACGGAACACAGTCAAATTACAGCTATCAGCCTCAATCCATGAAAAATTTTGAACAGGCAAAGATTCCACAAGGGACCCAGCAGGGGGGGCAGCAGCCCCCGCAGCCCCAGCCCCCGCAGCACACCATGCAGTACCCCAGTGCTGCCCCCAAGCTGCCCCTGCAGAGCCAGGTGGGGCAGTACAGCCAGCCTGAGGCGCCCGTGCGCTCCCCCATGCAGTTCCACCAGAACTTCAGCCCCATTTCCAACCCCTCCCCAGCTGCCTCTGTAGTTCAGTCTCCAAGCTGCAGCTCCACCCCATCTCCTCTTATGCAGAGTGGGGAGAACCTCCAGTGTGGGCAAGGCAGTGTGCCCATGGGTTCCAGAAACAGGATTTTACAGTTGATGCCTCAGCTCAGCCCAACCCCCTCGCTGATGCCCAGTCCCAATTCTCATGCAGCCGGCTTCAAAGGGTTTGGACTGGAAGGGGTGCCCGAGAAGCGCCTGACAGACCCTGGCTTGAGCAGTCTGAGTGCCCTGAGTACGCAGGTGGCCAATCTCCCCAACACTGTCCAGCACATGCTGCTCTCTGACGCCCTGACCCCTCAGAAGAAGACCTCCAAGAGGCCCTCCTCATCCTCTAAGAAAGCAGACAGCTGCACCAACTCTGAAGGCTCCTCACAGCCAGAAGAACAGCTCAAGTCCCCACTGGCAGAGTCGCTGGATGGAGGCTGTTCCAGCAGCTCCGAGGACCAGGGCGAGCGGGTAAGGCAGCTGAGCGGCCAGAGCACCAGCTCTGACACCACCTACAAGGGGGGCACCTCCGAGAAGGCCAGCTCCTCCCCTGCACAGGGTGTTCAGAACGAAGCCCCCCGGCTCAGCGCTAGCCCTGCAGCCAGAGACGAGGCCGCCTCGCCAGGTGCTAAGGACGTGGCCTTGTCATCCGAGGGCAACCCAAAAGTCAACGAGAAGACGGTTGGGGTGATTGTCTCCCGGGAAGCCATGACAAGCCGGGTAGAAAAGCCTGGTGGGCAGGAGAAGGGCTCCCAAGAGGATGACCCTGCAGCCACTCAGAGGCCGCCCAGCACTGGCGGGGCAAAGGAGAGCAGTCACGTGTCACTTCCTCAGCCAGAGCCTCCAGGAGGAGGGAGCAAAGGAAACAAGAACGGAGACAGCAGCTCCAATCACAATGGAGAGGGCGGCGGCCAGAGCGGGCACCCTGCCGTGGGCCCTGGTTTTATAGGCAGAACTGAGCAGAGCAAGTCTCCCGGGAGCCTGCGTTATAGCTACAAAGATAGTTTTGGGTCAGCCGTGCCGCGGAACGTCAGTGGCTTTCCTCAGTATCCTACAGGGCAAGAGAAAGGAGACTTCACTGCCCACGGGGAGCGAAAGGGTAGAAATGAGAAGTTTCCCAGCCTCCTCCAGGAGGTGCTGCAGGGCTACCACCACCACCCAGACAGGAGGTACTCCAGGAGCACTCAGGAGCATCAGGGCATGGCTGGGGGCCTGGAGGGAGCCACCAGGCCTAACGTCCTAGTCAGTCAAACTAATGAATTAGCTAGCAGGGGCCTTTTGAACAAAAGCATTGGGTCCCTGCTGGAAAACCCCCACTGGGGCCCCTGGGAAAGGAAATCCGGCAACACAGTTCCTGAAATGAAACAGATCAATTTGGCTGACTACCCAATTCCCAGGAAGTTTGAAATAGAGCCACAGTCCTCAGCCCACGAGACTGGGGGCCCCCTCTCCGAGAGAAGGTCAGTGATCTGCGACATTTCCCCCCTGAGGCAGATTGTCAGAGACCCAGGCGCTCACTCGCTGGGGCACTTGGGTGCCGACGCCAGACTTGGAAGGAACGAGCGTCTCAACCCCAGTCTGAGCCAGTCGGTCATTCTTCCCGGTGGGTTGGTGTCCATGGAAACCAAGTTGAAGTCCCAGAGCGGGCAGATAAAGGAGGAAGACTTCGAACAGTCCAAACCCCAGGCCAGTTTCAACAACAAGAAGTCCGGCGACCACTGCCATCCTGCCAGCATCAAGCATGAGTCTTACCGGGGCAACGCCAGCCCTGGGGCCGCGGCCCACGAGGCCCTCTCAGACTGTGGCCCGCAGGATGGCCGGCCCGCGCCCATGCGGCGCATCCCTGGCAGAGTCGGTGGTCGGGAGGGCATGAGGGGCCGATCCCCTTCTCAGTATCACGACTTTTCAGAAAAACTGAAGATGTCTCCTGGGCGGAGCAGAGGCCCAGGGGGAGACCCTCACCACATGAACCCGCACATGACCTTTTCGGAGAGGGCCAACAGAAGCGCGCTGCACGCCCCCTTTGCTCCCAACTCGGAAAGCCTGGCCTCTGCTTATCACAGCAACACGCGGGCTCATGCTTATGGGGACCCTGGCGCGGGCTTGAACTCCCAGCTCCATTACAAGAGACAGATGTACCAGCAGCAGCAGGAGGAGTACAAGGACTGGGGCAGCAGCTCTGCTCAGGGAGTAATCGCTGCCGCGCAGCACAGGCAAGAGGGGCCGCGCAAGAGCCCCAGGCAGCAGCAGTTTCTGGACAGAGTACGGAGCCCTCTGAAGAATGACAAAGATGGTATGATGTACGGCCCGCCCATGGGGACTTACCACGACCCCAGCGGCCAGGAAGGCGGCCGCTGCCTCATGTCCAGCGACGGTCTCTCTAACAAGGGCCTCGAACTGAAGCATGGCGCCCAGAAGCTGCAGCAGGAGTCCTGTTGGGACCTTTCTCGACAGACTTCTCCAGCCAAAAGCGGTGGGCCCGTGGGAATGTCCAACCAGAAGAGGTATGGCCCCCCCCACGAGGCCGACGGGCATGGTCTGGCCGAGTCTTCTTCGCAGACCTCCAAGCCCAGTAACGTCATGCTGAGGCTTCCGGGGCAAGAGGATCATTCCTCTCAAAACCCCCTCATCATGAGGCGGCGGGTCCGATCTTTCATCTCTCCCATCCCCAGTAAGAGACAGTCCCAAGAGGTGAAGAACAGTAACGCTGACGACAGAGGGCGCCTGCTCCACCCTTCGAAAGAAAGCGCCGACAAATCGTTCAATTCCTATGCCCACCTCGCCCACGGTCAGGATATCAAGTCTGTCCCTAAGAGGGAGGCTGCCAAGGACCTCCCGAGCCCGGACAGCAGAAACTGCCCTGCTGTCACCCTCACGAGTCCTGCTAAGACCAAAATCCTGCCCCCCCGGAAAGGCCGGGGGCTGAAGCTGGAAGCTATCGTTCAGAAGATCACGTCTCCGAACATCAGGAGGAGCGCCGCCCCCAACAGCGCAGAGGCCGGGGGGGACACCGTCACGCTCGATGACATTCTGTCTCTGAAAAGCGGCCCTCCCGATGGCGGGAGCGTCGCAGCCCAGGATGTGGACCTAGAGAAGAGAAAGGGTGAGGTGGTGTCTGACCTGGCCGGGCCGGCGAACCAGGAGCTGAACGCAGAGAAGCCCCTCGCCAGGTCTTCCGAGGAGTGGCGCGGCAGCGGGGACGACAAGGTCAAGACCGAGGCACACTCAGAAACGGTTACTGCCGGGAAGGAACCCCCCGGTGCCACGACGTCCGCAACCTCACAGAAGCCCGGGAGTAACCAAGGGAGACCAGATGGTTCCCTGGGGGGGGCAGCACCTTTAATTTTCCCTGACTCAAAGAATGTACCTCCGGTGGGCGTCCTGGCCACGGAGGCCAACCCCAAAGCCGAAGAGAAAGAGAGCGATACCGTGACGATTTCCCCCAAACAAGAGGGTTTCCCCCCAAAGGGATATTTCCCATCAGGAAAGAAGAAGGGGAGACCCATTGGTAGTGTGAATAAGCAAAAGAAACAACAGCAGCCACCGCCACCGCCTCCTCAGCCCCCTCAGATTCCAGAAGGTTCTGCAGATGGAGAGCCAAAGCCAAAAAAGCAGAGGCAAAGGAGGGAGAGAAGGAAGCCTGGGGCACAGCCCAGGAAGCGGAAAGCCAAGCAGGCCGTTCCCATCGTCGAGCCGCAGGAACCTGAGATCAAGCTGAAGTACGCCACCCAGCCACTGGACAAAGCTGACGCCAAGAACAAGTCTTTTTTCCCTTATATCCACGTAGTAAATAAGTGTGAACTTGGAGCCGTTTGTACAATCATCAATGCTGAAGAAGAAGAACAGACCAAATTGGTGAGGGGCCGGAAGGGTCAGAGGTCACTGACCCCTCCGCCCAGCAGCACTGAAAGCAAGGCGCTTCCCGCCTCGTCCTTTATGCTGCAGGGACCTGTGGTGACAGAGTCGTCTGTGATGGGGCACCTGGTCTGCTGTCTCTGTGGCAAGTGGGCCAGTTACCGGAACATGGGCGACCTCTTTGGACCCTTTTATCCCCAAGATTATGCAGCCACTCTCCCGAAGAATCCACCTCCCAAGAGGGCCACGGAGATGCAGAGCAAAGTGAAGGTCCGGCACAAAAGCGCTTCCAATGGCTCCAAGACGGACACTGAGGAGGAGGAGGAGCAGCAGCAGCAGAAGGAGCAGCGGAGCCTGGCTGCTCACCCCAGGTTTAAGCGGCGACACCGCTCGGACGACTGTGGTGGGGGCCCTCGGTCCCTGTCCAGGGGGCTCCCTTGCAAAAAAGCTACCGCCGAGGGAAACAGCGACAAGACTGCTCTGGACTCCAAGGCCGCCGTGCCCACCGCTCCGGAAGGTGGCCCCGAGCTGGAGTTACAAATCCCTGAACTACCTCTTGACAGCAACGAATTTTGGGTCCACGAGGGCTGTATTCTCTGGGCCAATGGAATCTACCTGGTCTGTGGCAGGCTCTACGGCCTGCAGGAAGCGCTGGAAATAGCCAGAGAGATGGTGAGTACGAGAAGTCCGTTACCGGCTTATTCTCTCGTTACCTCATTTTGGTTCCATGTTTTCCACCTTTCATTACTTGTAGCCTTTTTATTTGTGCATATCTCATGCTGAGTCCTCCAAATTAAAGCCTCTGTAGACCCAAATGATGGACAGAAAATCAAGTAATTTGCAAAATTTGTTTATTTTTATCAAATTTACATGTGGGCGCTAGCTAGCAGGAAGGCAGAGGTGCCGGCCCCTCCCCACCACCTGATTCCTCATTCCCCTGCTAAATAATTTCCTCGTACTGAGTGATAAGCTTTCGTTGCTGTTTGTGTTATTTCGCAATCCTTTCAATTTTCCACCATTCACTGCTTGTACTATTTATGAAGTGTGCTGTGTTATATTTCTCCTGAAACTTTTCATCTGTAGAATTACAAGTTCATGTTTTTATTTTCTTGGACCACGTCTTTCTAATCCAGGCTTATCCATCAGGATATTTATTTATTTATTTATACAAGAACCGTGGTACAGGCCAGATGTGGGAGGGTGAGAGGATTCACCAGAGACAGAGTGGGGAAGAGAACAGGCAGACTGACGAAATACACTGCTGAGGGGAGCAGCAGGTGAGGCAGGAGAGGTCTGTCTCGCCATGTGGGACCCTTGCCGGTGGCTGGGAATCAAACTGGTGCTGCAGAGGCTGTGGACAACCTTCACGGCACTGCACTCAACCACCTGCGCCACCAGGGGAGGCCCAGGATATTTGTTTCTTTATGTCTGTTTCCTGACTGTTACCCTGGGGCTTTCGTCATAGACGACATCTTTTACTTCCTTTTCTCCTGGATCCTGTAAGCCTTCCCCTTCTTCATATGAGCCCTCATTTAATGGAATGTGTCATTCTTAGTCATCTCTGGCATAAAGGTGCATGGGAGGTAAACAGATTGAGATCACATATATCTGAACATGTTTAGTTGAGTACTGGGATGGGTATAGGATTCTAGATCTGAAATAATTTCATCTAGTGTTTACTCCTGGCTTGTCTTCTACCTTCCAGTGTTACATTAGAGAGGACTGGAACTGTTCTGATTTCAGTCCTTAGTATGTGTCCTGTCTCTCTTCTGGCAGATTGGAGGGTCTTCTCATTTTCTCTGGGATTCTGAAATCTCAAAATGGTAGGCCCGATGGTAAGCTAGCTCCACTGAGCTCTCGCCATCTGTAAACTCATGTCTTTCAGTTCAGGAAGTTTGTCATGTGTTGTTTCTTCTTTGATACTCTGTTTTCTCTGTTCTCTCTTGGAATTTCAGGAGGTATTCTACCCCCTGGGTTGATCCTGTGGCTTTATATTTTTGGCTCAGTTCTGTGTTCTACTTCTCTGCCTTTTTGTTCTTATTTCTCCAGCTTTCTTTGATGTTATTGTCTAACCTTCTTCTACTGATATTTCAAGAGCTTCTTCTTTTCTGAATGTTCCTGAGGGGAGAAAGTTGCCTGGTTGAATTGGGTTGAATTAGGGATCTAACTCCTTATAAATTTGGAGCTATTGCCCTGGTTTCTGCCTACACACCCCCTCCCTCCCGACACACACATACACCATTTCTATGCCTTCCCAGACTATGCCTCAGGTGGTTGGCTTTCTGGTGGCTTCTCCACTATACACATTTCCCTCTGCTTCCTTTCATTTGGCTGAGTCACTTACTCTCTCTATTCAACTTCCACCTTCCAGAATTTGGACACTTCTTGAGTGTTTTCTGCTCTCCTATTCATCGTGTCCTCATGAATCAGCCATAATAATAGTACTGGACAGTACTTTATACTGTCCTCCCCCTCCCCCCAAAGCACTGTTGCATTTTCCCCAGAATTTGCAACAGTATCTAGCAGAAGAAAGCACTCATGAACTATAGTCAAACATACAATGTGACATATTTTTGAAACTAGAAACATTTTTTTTAAAAAAGATTTATTTATACAAGAACTGGGGTACAGGCCAGATGTGTGGGAGGGTGAGAGGATTCACCAGACACAGAGCGGGGAGCAGAACAGGCAGACTGACGAAATACACTGCTGAGGGGAGCAGCGGGCGCAACAGGAGAGGTCTAGGTCTGCGCGCCATGTGGGACCCTCGCCGGCCAGCCGGCTGGGATGGAACCAGGCGCTGCAGAGGCTGCAGACAGCTTCACGGCGCAGCGCTCAACCGCCTGTGCCACCAGGGGAGGCCCATAAAACTAGAAACATTCTAATTCAGCCTCACAAGAACTTGCTCTTCTCTCTAAGACCCACCCCCCCACACACATACTCTTTTTTTCTCCTTTCCCTTTCTCCTTCATCAACACTATTCCCAGACCAAGTTTGAGGTTTGTTTACTTTTTAGATACAATGACATTTAAAATGCAAGCTCTAAAGCAACAAAGCCCGTAAGGCCTTAAAGTACAAAATTCTTTAAATAGCCCTGATCACTCAGTAATCCATTAATCATCATCTTACCCCCGTAGATGATCTGCTCGCCAGCTTTCCTCTGAAAGTTATGGTTCTTAGTGGGTTGGTTCGTTTTTGTTTGTTACTTTTGTGTATGCCCCTGTCAGCTTGCCAGTGTTTCAACATAAAGTGTCATTAACATCTCAGTATAATTTTAATGTGTGAACTTTTGAACATTCTGTAGCAATAATTGGTAACCAGCAGCCATGGTCACTTCTACCCAACAGATCCTAGAGCTTGTGTCTCAGTCCAAACCTAGTTCATAGAAGTAGAAGCCCCTGAGTCACAGCTCCCTCCTTCCCCAAGCGGCTGGTGAACAGCGGGGCTGCCTTTTCAACTCATCAGGAATGCGTGTCTTCAGAAAGTGACAATGTGGTCTACTACTTGTCAGCTCTACCCCAAAATAAAATCTGGAATGTTATAATTGGAACAAATACACAGTGTGATAAATCGGTCTTTCTCTAACCCATCCCCCAGAGCTTTCCCCAACTAAATGGCTAAAATAACATGAAGCACTTTAGGTAGAGAACGTTGAACGTAGTTTTGTTTTTTAGTTACTAGTTGAAGCATCAACTGTTTTAAAAGTACTTCAAGTTAACTATGTTCAAAGGGACAGAAAAATTGGAATGTTTCATTTAAAGGTGACAGGTATAAAAAGCAGGTGATTTCACCCCTGCGCTTCCTCTCCAGTAGAGGCCCTAAGCATAGATTTTTGGGCTTTACAGCAGCTTCATCTGGGCTGTGGATTCCACCAACTCCCTTAATAACAGCTTTCAGAATACAGTTGACTAGTCTTTAAATACAGTTCCTACTGTAACTGTAAGGTTATTTCATTGTACGGACAGTCCTGACTTAAGATGGTTCCACTTACAATTTTTTGACCTAATGACGGTGTGGAAGCGGTGTGCACGCAGTGGAAACCGCACTTTACACTTGGAGTTCTGCTCTCTTCCAACACGAGGGGCGGCGGTCGCTCTTCCGAGGCGGGGCAGTGGCCCAGAGCAGCAGCTCCTGGCCAGAGTGAGGTCATGAGGGCTACCTCTTTTCTGCCAGCTGCTCTGCAGCCCCCTCAGGAGAAAGGGAAATTGAGGGCCCTGCTGCTGTGCTGCTGTCACACGCAGTTCACTGGCGTGCAGCGCTCGGTGTGCATTTGCACCGTTGCACTGACAGTCGTTCTGTTTTCACGGTAGGCATCGGGTTCAGGAATTATGTGGGCTACTCACTGCTTTTTCACAGAATAGGCTGTGTGAGATGATTTTTCCCAGCCACGTAGGCTAAGGGGTTCAGAGCACATCGAAGGCAGCTCTGGCTAGGTATGCTGTCGATGGGGTGGCTGGATTAAATGTATTTTTGATTTCGGATATTTTCAACCTCAGCTGAGTCGATGGATGTCAGGAGTCAAGGAGGGTCAGTTTTGTTCTGACTATGCCAGAGCCCTTTAAAAAAGACTAACCTGGGCCTCCCTGGTGGTGCAGGGGTTAAAGTCTCAGCGCTATCAAGCTATCACCAGCCACTGCTGCAAGAGTTTGAGCCCCAGCCAGGGAGCTACATGGCGCAACAGACCTATCCCTCCGCTGCTCCCCTCAGCAGTGTATTTCAGTAGATCTGCCTGTTCTGCTCCCCACTCTGTCTCTGGTGAATCCTCTCACCTCCTGCACCTCTGGCCTACACCCCAGTTCTTATATGCATAAATAAATAAAAATAAATCTTTAAAAGATAATAAAAATAAGGACTTTCTTATCCCTCAGCTTCAGTCTACTTACTTTACACCCCTCTTTTAAAATAGGATACTAGCTTTAGATGTGGAGTTTAATTTTTCATACATTACCACATCTGTCTTATTCTCACAAGCCCCCCAGTGAGATAGGAAGAGAAAAAGCCATCCCCTGACGCTCAGAGCCTTTAGTGACTGACTCGTGCTCAGGTAGTCGAGTCCAGGGATGTCTTGATCTTAAAAAGTACTTAAAAAGTTACACTTCTTAGTAAATCAATAAGCTTTGAATTTTTTTTTAAAATCTCATTTTGTCCACCACGTGCCCGCGGGGATGCTGGCGATGCTGCCTTGAGGGGTTTGTGCCAGCGAACGTGTCCGCGCGTCCCTCAGAGAGCACGGCCCTCGGAGGAGGGGTGAGGCGCTGGGCAGGGAGAACGAAACTTAGTGATTCCTTTAAGTTATGCTTCTTGGTTCTCTGCGCTGCCTGGTTATTCGCCTCGCTTTTACCCCTTTTCTCCGTGTACTCAGGACAAATTAAAATCACACGAACTTGCCTTTTCTTGAATCTGATAGATGGCGTTGAGCTTGTCGGGGCCGCACCGCGTGCAGGTGGTCCTGGGCCGTGGCCTGTGCCCTCGCCGGGGCGAGGCCGCGCGTGTTTCCTTAGAGAGCCAGCCCGGCCCGCGCGGCCAGCGTGCCCGAGCAGTAGAACACGGAGCCCTCGGGCGACGGCAGCTCCTGCCCCGCTGAGCGTCTGTCACACTGCTCCGGAAGTTGCTGGAAACCGGAATGTTCACGCACAGACAGCCTTCCCGTCCCCTTCTGAGTGTGGGCCTTG